GTGGGAGGCATAATGGAAGGGGGAGAGAGAGAAGAGTAACTGTACATGTTAAGGAGGAGGAGGAGAGGTGATGGGAGAGTGAGGCTTTAACAAAAGTCTTTTAAATTAAATCTTTTTTTCCGGGAACGGGGGGGTTGAGGCTGACACTAACAGCAACATGTTTCGAGGAAGAGGAGGATAGGGTGGAATGGGTGAGGAGAGGGGCGAAGATAGAGGGAAAAGGGATTTATTAACATTTCAGAAATGAGACGATGTTGCCTTTTAGACTACACAGGACTGTAGGAATTCTTCCTTTTATTCAAACACGGACAGAATCTGAGTAAAACATACTTTCAGAGCGCACAAACGCAACAGATAAGTCATTTTGGGGATCTAGAACAAACTGTTGTCTCCTAAACCAGCCCTAGTTTGGTGTTTTATGACAGCCATTACTAACAGCAACATTCTGAGGTGACACATCACAACACAGTCTAGTTTTTTGCTGCCTTATCCTTATTGAATTTCATCCAACTGTTTTCTACTGCCTTAAAAAGCTGCCTCGGTCAAGCAAAAGTAGCAAAGAGGTCTCAAGTATTGTAACCGCTCAAGATGATCTTGATTCGACCAACCAAACACTCTCAGAATTGTACCTGATATCTTTCTGGGTCAATCCTTCACGAGCAGGACAGTCGACTTAAAATCACTGTGAGATCACGAATACGTGGGGGGGGGGCACACTTCTTTGACAAACAATGCAGGGAGACCTCGGCAGCGATGTTTTTTCTGACAACGGAAAAAGGTCGTCGGGCAGATTGTCACGTATTGATTTAGAGGCTGTAGGATCCTCTTAAAAGCACTCTCCTACGAAGACGGGCCGTCAATGCGAGGCCCTTTTCTTTTTTAAATCATCTAATCCCGATGTAGACACACCCCCATCTATGCTTATCCACGTTTCCCTTCCGTGTGCAAATTCACAAACACCCAGTCTTATGTGCCGTATGGGACTTCAAGCTAGCCTAAAGAATTTCGTATTCTGTAATGAACACGTTTCAAAGTAAAGGCCCTTCTGTCTGTCTTCAATATCAGTATCACTGCCTCCGGTCTCAGAAGGGACGGGGAACACGATAAGAGAACTGGGACCCCTGTATTTCTGTACACGGCTACACATCCTGAGCCCGGGTGTGTAAGGGGAATGGCGATACGGGCTGCATGAAAACGCAGTAGAAAGCCATATTCACTATTTACTGTACACATAAGATGCAGAGTGCTTCACATTGAGATGGCTCCCTGCTGGGTCGAAGATGGAAGACTAAACTGTGCATAACGGCGCTACGAGGCCTTTGTAATAAGGCATCAATCCGCACGCCCGACTGTAGCAGCAAAGTCACTATACCGACCCTATTTTAACGCTGTAGTCTACTTTCGAGCTACGCTGTAAATACATCTGGATGCCATATGTAAAACATTCAGATCGGTGAGCATTTCAGACCAATCCAAGCTGACCTAATTGATCCGTCCAAGTCAGGAATTCTTCGTGTACGTTTTCATCAGCAGGATCAAGTGGCCGTTACAGGTGAATAACGTGGCATTACTGTAAAAAATAGCAGGAAAGGCTAGTCTGTGACAGGCAACCCGGACCCGTAGGTTCAACAAAAGCTGGGCAAAAAGAACACACGAACACTAGGATGACGCCCGTTATCTAAGCTGTTTATTCTGTTGAGGGGTGAGCGGGGTGGCGGGGTCATATCCCAGCACATAGTACGTTATCTGTTAGCAAATATCTGTGGCACTGTTTACCATTAGGTTAGCATCACGTGGCTCATTTAGTCGCTGTAATACATGTGAGACGACTGTACTGGCCTGCTGAGGGGAAAATTTTAAAAAAAAAGACATGTGCCTGCATTTCCTTCATACACTTAGCAGACCTGAATAAAATAACATGTGGTTTGGTATGATTGCAAAAGTAAAAGGAAGGTCTGATAAAGTTAGCCCGTAAATAGCATTTCTCATTACAGTTACTGTATGTATTTCACATATTACATTAAGCTCTCTCTGTTTCCTTGCTCACATCATTTGAAATCATTTGTATTTTATCCAGGTCTAACAGTTGAGAACACAAATGTACAGTATGTTTGCTTGCCTTCCTTTTACCCTGTACATAGTATGTTTTATTTTTTTATATTTTGATGCTTTTTGCAGTTGATGTGTGTCTTTCTTTTTATAACCCATGTTTGCTGTTGAAGGGATGCCTTGATATTTTGAAATTTACTCCGGTATATTCGTTTATCTGCAAAAAAATCACAATGTTAAAAAAAAAGGTTTGTGTATGTGACATTAAAGGGGCAATATACGACATTCAGAGCATTAATATAGCAGCAAACAACAATTTTAACTGCGTAAAGATATCATGAAGATATTTTTATCTGAGATAGCTACAAACAGCTGGCCATGTTGAGAGCCGTTGAAAGGCAATCGAAATGCTTCATATCTCGTATTATGCATCTTTAATAAATATCAGTGTGGGGAGTGAGTCCTTGTGAGACCAGGGCTCACTCTCTTGATGAGTTGTTCAGGGTCTGTCGATCAAATGAAAATTCATTTACAACTGTTTCAATAGTTGATAGTTTTAGTGATCTTGTCACAAAAAGGCCAAATTTTCCTCTTGGTTCAGCTTCTCAAATGTGAATATTTGCTGGTTTCATTTGTCTTTTGTGACACAGTAAGCTGAATACCTTACATCTCTATCGGTCCAGCCGAGTGTCATGGCAGGTTGTGAAATAGTCACGAAATGCAATCTATTAGTTTCCTGTACATGGACACGAATTGTCTTTTTTTCTTGTGTTGCTCGGGACAAAAGTAATGCTAATGGGACGTCAATTAGGATCCACTTTCGTGGGATGGAAACACAAATTAAATGCATCCACGTGACTAAGAAATAGTCAGAGCAAGTGACGTAGTATTCAATATCCAAAAAGACTGGTTTGTGATTTTATGGTTGTGGTTTTGTTGCCTGAACCTTACATTCATGACAGTTTTCCGAAACCTAATTACGTGGTTTTGTTGCATTAACCTAACTGTTGTTTTCAGTCATTCCAAGCGACACGAAAAATACTGACAATTTGTGTCCCTGTACACGAAACCCATAGATTGCATTTTGTGTGTGACATTTTTCTTAAAAATCACATTTCTAAAACCAAACCTTTAATTGATTATTCGAGAAAGTAATTGGAAGAATAATCAATAATGAAAATAATTGTTGCAGTTCTACAGGGTACAACACATCAGCAGGGTTTCCCTCACTCAGGCAACATTGGTTATATACGTACATTCATGTAACAATGTGTAACCTGAAGGTAACGCATATAACAGTGCTGGTGCAGGTTAGCTTGTTAGCTATAGCTATTTTCAGCATTCGGTTAAACTGCCAGCCTGCAGCTGTCCTGTCATTGATTTCAAGATCATTTCAATATACCAAATAAAAGGATAATAATGTAATATTAACTAATGTATGTGGGGACATAACGCCATCTATTTAACACGGGGTCAATGTGGCTACAGTTGTATTTATTACATTACAGTCATTTAGCAGATGCTTTTATCCAAAGCGACTTACAATTCAGAGTCTATCACATTTCTACACCGTAGGCACAACTACAGGAGCAATTTTGGGGTTAAGTGTCTTGCTCAAGGACACATCGACATGCGACTAGCGGAGCCGGGGTTCGAACCGCCAACCCTCTGATTGAAAGACGGCCCTGCTATCCACTTAGCCACATTATTGAGCTTAATGCGACACCATTGAAACAAGAGGTCAGTCAGCGACAGAACAGCGGCCCTTGAATGCCTGCAACCTTCATCCTCATGATGCAGTGCACACGACGAGGTCAATGCTCAGAAAAACGTTGAGATTAAAAGTCAAAGTACCAAGTTACTCCTTTAACAAACGCCTTAAGAGTGGTGTTACTTGATTTTGTGATGTCTTTCTTTTTATGATAATTGAGATGACTGTGTTTCAGGCTGTGAGTTTGTTATCGTTTTGTCTTCTTTCACATGTTTTCATATGTAACATTGTCGTTGTTACAATCTGGCTGAAGGGACTTCTGATAAAACCACTGAAGAAGCTTCACTTGACTCAGATCCTCGTTCTTTCACTTCACTCATTCTAAGCCCAACTTCTTTTAAGGTCAGCTTTTGGGATGATGTGCCCCCAATGCATTGACATGATTAAGCTTTCAGTAACATGTCTGTTTTGGCCATGTGTCCTGACTGAGGTATTTATTGTTCCTCCCACACAGGAACTTCAGATTTCATGTCTGGTTTTTCCATTTTTCTTTCTCTCCCGTCCTGTATCTTATTTCACCCTTCATTTGTCACCCGGTTTCAACTGCCCTTTCATTCTATTTCTGCCCTGATCTTTCAATAGTTTATCCCTATGTCTCATATCTCACTTTCTGTATTTCAGTGACCCATACTTTCATTCCTCCTGCCTCCGCATACATTACACTTTCTGCATCAGTCTGTCCATCCGCCTCCACCTTTCTCTTTCTCTGTCTCCAAACATGTGGCTTGTGGCTGTTCTAAGTCTTTGGCTGAAAAAAATGTAATTCTCAAGCAGATCATGTGTCCATTAATGGGTGTAGCAGACGAGTGCTGCTGAATGTTGAAGATCAGAGAGGTTTCATTTAGTTATTGTCTTCGTACTGACTCTGGTCTACCACAGAACACTATCCAGACAAACTGCATATTTGATACGCAAATAATGCGCCATGATATCTTAAAGAATACGGTTAGACATTCAAATTGATGGGGTTTTTTTTGTGGCATTTTATAAATTAAGTTATGCTGAGCTCTTCCAGAAAAGGCCTGTTGTGTGGGGGGAACATTTCTTGGGAGTGGATGATGCGGTTTGGAAAGTCAGCTATCAAGAGACAGACATCTGATCTGAAACAAAACAGACCACCAGTGGTAAAACCATAAAAGTTCTGAAGAATGCTGAAAAAATGTTTGTTTTTTTTAAATGGAGGAAAATCTGAGCGGTGACCCTCGCCAAAAAAGTAAATGCAGTTAAAAAAAATAATGTATCGTATCAAATAAAGCAGGTGTGAGAATTAGCACTAATAACTGATTATCTTATGCACAGAAAATGTCCGCTGTCCTATAGGTTGTGAAACCCCCATTTGGTGGAGGCCTTTGGTGCCATTTGAGTTCCACAGTGGGAGGTGGTGGGGTGGAGGAACCAAAGGAGAGAGAACCCAATTATCAGTCAAGGAAAGATAAATCATTATTTGCCCAATTATGCTTTTATTTTGGTGAGTACATATTGTGAAATTAAGTAAGTAAGTTAGATATTAGCCAGATATATTTTAGATAAATAAGTCTCCACTGCCCTAAAGTCAGTGGGCTATAGTGCTGGAATAGTATTATTTGTGTTGGGAAACGGGATGATGTTCAGTGCAGGATAAAGACAATGGTCATTTTTATTCAGATGGATTGTCCTGCTCTTCGAAATAGACATTCCTATGTATTACCTGTGGAGAGCAGCAAAAGGCTTCGATGAGTGTAACCAGCCTCAGATTTCAGTAGAGGAAGAACGCGGAGACGTCACATGGAGAGATGCAACCAGCAGTAGCTGCTCCACCACTAATCACACAACATTAACATAACGAGCTAGTGCGAGCTAACACAGCCTGCTACGCGAATTCGCATTCCGTTTACCGTACGTCCGGAATTTCAAAATCCGCAAGAAACAAACGCGAGATTCATATACGGTGCACAACGGGAAACAACATTACGGCCACACACAGTTTTCGTGGCTTCTCCTCGCATCAACTGGCAGGCTATTTTTGGCTAGCTAGCGAAGCCCAACGATAGCGAACTCTGCCTTGGCTAGCGTCAGGCTAGCCAGCTAGCTAGCTAGCTACTAACGTCGTTAACGGTGGTTAGCTAGCTAGCGAGCTGTGGTGACTTGCGTCATGGATGAACTAGTCGTGGAAGTGAGGGGAACAAGTGGGGCCTTTTATAAGGTGAGTTTGTGACTTTTTGTTGCCTTTTGTCATCTCGGCTACCACACCGTGCTCTAACGTTAGGCTCACTGACAAGAAATGGTCGTGCCCGGACTAACGCTAGCGGCGAGATCCTCGCTTGTGTCTGCGGGCCTCGGTGCTTCTGTCCACCGGGACAGCGGAGGCAGAACAGTCTGTAAACAAAGCTAACGCGAAGATGCTGCCGTAACCTCTGCGCTGCTAGCAGAATATGTGAGTTATTGGTGATAACGACGTTTGCTAAACCAATGTTGTAGTGTTGCTAATGTCGACGCGGTCGTAATCTCGTGTTATCTACACAGTGATGGGCTGGTGGCTGAGGTACAAGTGCCAACATTCGGTTATGAATTGTATTTGTCAAAGTAACGGCTAACTTAATTCAGGATAATGTCAGCACATTGGTGTTTTTCCGTGTTTCCCTGGTGGGGACGGTAGCTTTTTGTTTCGTTAAGGCTTGCCGAGAGTTTTGGGGTTATTCTGAAGACGAGAGTCAACAAGTAACGTGTATTTTGGGGGTTCATGCATCGGCTGTTTGGTCATATGAACGTTATACCACACACTGACTGAGAGTGTTGCTCGTGGGTCCTTGGGCAGACATTGATAATCCGGGTGTTGATGCTATGATCGGTGTTCCTCAGGTGTGGAAGAATTATTTAAATCTTACAGGGTTAGTGACACGATCTGTACCACAGTTGAAAACGAATTTCAGTTCCGAGTACAATTGCTTATTAAAACGTTGCTAAATATCGCAAACAACGTTATTTGGCATATAAGCATGTACTTGGAAGCAAAAGTGAAAGTAGGAACTCTTGTTTTCAGTTATGTTAGATTGTCATTCTTATGCAATGGTTGATGGGACGAGGGCAAACAAAACAGAGCGGTAAAAACAGAAGGGAAGACATATAAATGACAGTTGATATTTTATAAATGTGTGCTTTTGATTGGACCCTAACTAACAATCATAGCCGTTGAATCGATACAACGTTGGCAGAGTAGAAGAAGAAAGTTGGTCACGATAAATAAATGGTGCCATCTCCTATCTGCTGCCTGTCTTACTCCCAGTTCCACCAATATATAACCCTTAAAGACCACAATGGCGTTACTAGATTGGTGGCAGTCAGTGAGACTGAGTGGGCGAGGTTGAATTGGGATTGATTGCACGTATTGTCACTGTAGAAGTGTCGCTGCTGCCAACCTAATGTAATGAATATGAATGGAATGTAATGGATGTGCAGGAGAAAGTATTTTGAGATGTAATCAATCGGCCTGCAAACCATCCTGCCAAGCTGCGCTGCACTGCTGCTCCAACCCACTCGCCTCAGTGCCAGCTGAATTGTCTGAAACGTACGAGGGAACGAAGCACTTCACTAAAGCAAATTCCTAAATTGGACGCTGGTTTGAATCAGTCCTGTACGAAAACAGTCTATTCTTTTGGATTGTCCTCGGCCTTGCTGTTTGAATTTCTTATAAAATGCTGATGTGGGCTGTGACACAGAGGTACATGAACAAGCATTGAGTAATAACAAGTGTAATACACGACATGGATTTGGCTGGATAACTATTTAGTCCTATGAGAAAGCATTTAGACACATTGTCTTTGAATGTAGTACTTGAAGTAGATCAGCACATTTGCTGAACTTCATGTATTTGCATGATTCTGGCATTTTCTTTGCTTGTACCCACGTGGTTGAATTTCCTTGTTGTAAGTTGCTTTGGGTAACTTGCGCAATCTCTCAATTCCTAAAACTTGAGAAATCTGCACAGAGCTGTAGGGTACAGAGGTTTGTTATGTTACCATGCTGGTGCTGCTCAGTAGTTCACTTGCTAACAAAGGTCCACCATGCTAATCCCAGACGGGGTCAAACTGGCACTGGTCCAGGATTTATCAGAGCCAAATAGTTTGGAGGTTATGGAAGAACTCTTTATTATTTTTTTTTTATTATTTTTTTTGTGTTGATGAACAGAAAAGGTTTGAACTTGAGATCTGTCTTTAAGAGTATTATGTTTTATTGGACTCTGTGATTGTGTTAAGTTTGGTTGATTAAGACATTTGTCATAAAAGCTTTTATTTATTAGCGGTTACCTGAAACTATAGCCCTGTCTCTGGCATCAAAGTATTTTAAATTTTGCTTTAGCCTTTAATAAACAGATAAAATATCTTTAGTCTTTGGTAGTGTTGTCATAATAAGTTAGTGTTGATACGTAAAGATAGTGAATATTTGAAACGGTTGCGATACAAATTTTCCACAGTATCGATACTCGGGTACCAGCTGTGCTTTCTGCTCTCTCTTCTCTCTCGCTATTCATCTTTTATTAAAAAATCTAAAATTTGATGCGCTCAGTGTCGTGTAAGTTTTTCCTTGTGGTTTCGTATATTGATATTCTTCAAGATATTGTATCAAAGTTAGAGATTCCAGTACCATGACAACAGACCCATGACGAGGCTCATAAGTTAGTTTAAATACTAAAACTATTTTCAAATATCATTTTACTGAAAATGAACCCAGCCTTGTTTTAAAAAGAGATTGATCTTCATTTGCATTCATGATTTTCATGTTACAGTAAATCCTCCTGTGATAAGAATAACTCATATTTAGCTTCCTGTATATTAGAAGCTGATTATGTGCCAAAATCCTTCACATTTAAGAATAATAACTTTTAAAATAAACATAAAATGCTTCAACTTTAAGCATTTAAAGAGTTTGTCATACACCTTTTCAAATTTAAACCAATAAGCCATTCCTGTCACATCTTTAATGGCAATAACAGCACGCAGCACTATAGCATGCTATGCTACACTACTATATAATATAACATCAAACTAAAAACTCCTTTTTGAATGTTTTCCCAAAATGGGCCAGATGAACATCTGGCCCATTTTGTGCACTCAGAAAGTCTTATTGTGTGATTGTGTGAGGGGTTTTGTACCCGGTGGTCACGGGTCAGGAAAAAGGCAATAGAGGAGCTTACCCCGAATCATTGGGGATTTTGAGAAGCTCTCTTTTTGGATTTTCTCTCGCTTCATTTCCAACTGTTAGCTTGCCAGGCTAATGCGACCCACAGACGAGGTGCTCTCTCTCTCTCTCTCTCTCTCTCTCTCTCTCTCTCTCTCTCTCTCTCTCTCTCTCTCTCTCTCTCTCTCTCTCTCTCTCTCTCTCTCTCTCTCTCTCTCTTCC